ACATGGCTACAGGCGGGAGGAACAGGCGCCTCACAGCTGGCAGGCGGTGCCGACTCGGCAGAGGCAGGCGGCAATGGCTTCCCCTTTTCCTGTTCCACCCCCTCCCCCTCCCCCCATCCCCTCTCCACCCTATGGGGGGTTGCTGCGTGGGCCCGCTGTAGTCGGCGACGACGATGGCGACAGGACGACGACGGTACGACAGACGACGCGTGCGCGCGCGCTGCGGATGCCCCATGGGGGGAGGGGGGGTTGCGCAGGGCCGCAGTAGACGACGACGACGACGACGACGACGACGACGACGACGACGACGACGACGACGACGACGACGACGGACGACGACGACGACGCATTGCGGATGCCCAATGGGTGGGGTGATGTAGGCCCCCTGTCGTAGTCGACGACGACGGCGACGACGGGCGACGACGCACTGCGGATGCCCCATGGGGGGGCTGCGCAGGCCCGCCGTAGTCGACGACGACGGCGGCGACGACGATGGATGACGACGCGCTGGGGATGCCCCTTGGGCGGTGGGTGGGTGCGGGGTGGTGTGATCGCAGACGATAGCGGCAACGACGACGACGACGACGACGACGACAACAGCGGCGGCGACGACGACGAAGACGACGAGAGCAGCAAGTCGTGCCACTGCTTTGACGCCTGGTCGGACGCGTTGGAGCAGCACTGGAACACGGAGATCCAGGGCAGCAGCGCCAGAGCAACGTCGTGTCGCTCTGTACTGGACGAGAGTGCGGTGGCCATGAACGTCTGCGCCATCAAGGCGCTGGTAGACCTGCATTCAACTGATCATGCTGCTGGAGGTGGCGCAGTCATCTCGCTGAAGGCGCAGGCCTACTTGACACCTGGGAGGCTCCGACGCCACGGGTGGACCAGCCGTGCCATCTCGGCAGAGCGATCAATCGTGACGGGCAGTAACCATGGGGTGAAGGTGGCCAAGCTATTCCTGTACCCGCTTCTGCAGCGTATCAGCGCGGGCACGCCGATGGTTGGCCCCCAGACATTACGATCTTCAGGATGGAGGGGACAATGAAGGTCGCAGTGAAGCGGATGGTTGGCGCCTTGCAGCAGCTTGCGGGATCTTGCAAGGAGGCGCGCCCCACCATCTCTGAGAAGTCCGCCATCGAAGCCTCGGACATGGATGCAGCCAGGCAAATCGTGAGTGAGGCTCGGGCGGCCAAGCTACCGCTCAAGGCAGTTGGGAAGGCGGTGGGCATCGGCATCAGCACCACCGTGGATCAGAGTCAGCGCAGGCAGCGCACCACAAGGAGGCCGGGCAGCGATTGCGAGGCATCTGCCGCACGAGGAGAAAGGCGCGCTCTGGGGAACAGCCGACGATGCTAGACGAGACTGGCGCGCAGCCGGTGCTGGCCTATGGGCGTCCTGCCCTGGGAGAGGCGCCGACGGCCATGCTGAGGTTCAGGAGATGGGCCGGCCGCGTGGTGGCAGGCAGCAGATTACCAGCCTGGAACATATCCCTATCCCTATGCTGGGCACCTCCTTATCACGATGCCAATCTTAGGGATTCCCTTGTTTGTTGAGGGCCAGTCCCTAAGATTGTCATCGCCTTTCGGCGTGTCAATCTTAGGGATAGGGATACGTTCGAGGCTGGTAAATGCTGAGGTTCAGGAGGTGGGCCGGCCGTGCGGTGGCAGGCAGCAGAGGCTCCAGAGGGTGCCTGGCCGCCGTGCCGGCGCCGGCCTGGGGCGAGGACGGCCCAGGGCTGGCGCCACCGCGGCAAGCTCGTGGCGGAGTGGTTTTGCAGCTCCGGAGGCGGCGCCCTGCGTTTCTGCGTTTCCCGCTAATCACAGCGTCTCCCCGCCCTCCCGCGCGCCAGACGGGCGCGCCACGCCTCCCTGGCTTCGACGGCGGCGGCGGTGGCAAGAACCTCGGCCCCCTGGAGGCCGATGCTCAGGCGGCATCCTGAGCATCGGCCTCGTGTCCAGAGGGCTCGGCGCATCCTGTGCCAGAAGCTGAAGGCGCCTCCCCGGGCCCAGAGGTGGGCCAGGGTGCGAGGTGCCATCTCGGCGGTCATCTGCACGCTAATGACGGCCGGTTGGGACCCTCAGTTGGCCTCGACTTGGCATTCTGGTATCGCAGAAACGTGGCAGATGAGTGAGGACACCAGCATCGATGACACCGAGCTCCTAGACGAGTTCACCGCCAGCGTCAAGAGGGGCTGATGGGCTAATTAAGGCGGCTCGGCACGGCGCTGGAGGAGGCGCTGAGGCACCTGGCCTTAGGTCGGGCATGTCCTCCTGCAGGCGGATTTTGAAGGAAAAATGAAAATAGCCCCAAAAATTATCAAAAATGATCGACAAATAATCCCCAGACGATTTTTGTATCATCTTTGAATACTCCTCCTGTGGAGGGACATGCCCGACTGAAACCTGGCCAGGCTCCAGCGCGACGGCGAGTACGACACCTGGGCGATGCAGCTGCAGGTGAGCGTCTCTTAATCGGCGATTCGACATTGGGCGGCACGGGGGGGGAAGGGGGGGTCTGGCTCTGGATCTCTGCTCGGTGCGACTGTTTGCAACAGCGCGTCCATTCATGGGGGAGACCCCACCTGCTCGAGACGGGCGCCGAGGGCAGCCAAGATCTGCTCCACTGGGGGGAGGGGGCTGTGGGGGTGCGAAGGCCCACGCCCATCGGCAAAACAACGAATGAGAAAACGATCCAATGGCCGGCGCCTCCCTCGGACGCGGGCCAGGCAGGAACGAGAGGCACAGCTCCGCCGTGGCCACCCTCTGCCTCCCCCGCGGCGGGCTCGCGCGGCGGCGGCGCTGCGGCTGCACCGCGCCTGGCGGTGCCCGTGCAGCGTGGGCCACGAGGGCTGCGACTAGGCTGCCGCGGTGGCGCCGCGGGGGTGCCTCCTCTCTGGCCACGTGGCACTCCTCCAGCCACGCGGGAGATGCACGTACAGGGCAGTTTTTAATACATCGGAGTTTTGAAAATATAGGATTTTGAATGCATGGTTCATGCATGAACAAATTTACGCATGAACTCATCGTTGTTTTTAATACTAAATCCCTGCATTTTTTAAATACATGATCCGCACGCGGAGCATGTTTTAAAAACGGCACTGTACCCCGAAGAAGCCCACGAGATCGAGCTGGAGACGGGCTACTGGGACTAGGCGGCGGTGCAGTACCGCGGTCAGGACGGTTACCAGGACGTCTTTGGCGACGGCTCGGAGAGGGTGTACAGTGACGACCTGCGCCTCCGGCAGTCGGAGTCGGCGAGGTGATTATGCAGGGCTCGCTGGAGACGCCTGACGAGTTCCGCGTGGCCGCTGGCATCGCTGCCGAGCTCCCTGGGTCAAAGCAGACCTTCCCGCGCGCCAAGCTCCAGGCCTTCAGCATCACGCTGCGGCGCTCCCGCGAGAACTTGAGGTAGCACATGGACCACATGCCGCTGACGCAGGGATCGCGTGAGCGGCGCCAGTTGCACCTGTCAGGCAAGACTGCAGACCTGTTGCGGACGATCAAACACATGTTGCGAGATCTAGGGGATGCGAATATTGAGCTGCGTTTCTTATATAGTCGCCCAGGGGGGGCAGCGAACAGGTTCCGATTTGGGGCAGCGATTGTTCTTTGGAGCGGGTACTGCGTGTGCTGGTAAATTCGCGAGCCCTGCTGCAGCCAGTGTGTTGGAGAGTGCCACCTTGAAGCCAGAGGCATCCTTGATCTATGATGTGGCGCATATGGTTCGCAAGCGTGCGGTGCGTGTTCATCTTACTAGTATGGAGGTTGATCCGATCAACTTGAGAGTGGAGCCAACAGCCAAGCAGGTTCTTAGCAAGCGAGCGAGGCTTGTGGCGGCCTCCCCCCACCTCCTGGAACTCGTCAGGACCCGATGGAGCTACAATGTTTGTGATCAGTCAGTCCTGTCTGAAGTCCTTGTTAGCTTTGCCTGTACGCAGTGTGTTCCGAAGCAGTTTGTAGCTATCGGAGATGTAGGCGTTGGTCATAGTGGTGGCGGGGGGGCGGGTTAAGGTGGGAGATGCGGAGCTCGATCCTTCGCATTCACTCATATTGGTGGACTGTATGAGCTTGCATGCGTGTACGACATGCGGCTGGAGCTTGCATGCGTGTACGACATGCGGCTGTCACGGCGGTGTCACTGGCCTTCGAGTGTCGTCCACAGACTGCGAAGGGTGAGCAGAATTTGAGAAAGTTGTGTCTGGGTAAGTGGCCCCACCCCGAAGGCATGCCCGAGGCGGTGCAAGAGGCTCCCGCCTGGAGGGAAGTGTGCAGGGCCCGATCCAGTGCCGCCGCCGCCGCCGCTGCCAGCGTGCAGAGCGAGCGTGAGCATCAGCAGGCCTAGAGACGCCTGGAGTCAGCACGACTGGTGTTTCTCAGGGTATTCCCACTGTATTCTCCTCCTCCTCCTCCTCCTCCTCCTCCTCCTCCTCCTCCTCCTCCTCCTCCTCCTCCTCCTCCCTCCTCCTCCCTCCTCCCTCCTCCTCCCTCCTCCTCCTCCTCCTCCCCCCCTCCTCCTCCTCCCTCCTCCCCTCCTCCTCCCCCTCCCCCCCCCCCCCCTCCATTCCCAAAAATGGCGTTCTGGCACGATTCTGGATCGTCAAGACGCGGCAGTCAGTCAGGTTGATACGTGGCGTTGAAATCCCGAGAAAAATGTTCTGGCACGCTTCAAGATCTTCAAACTGTTGTCTTCCAGCCAGGCAATTCCCTCAATGGAAATGAACCGCTGTAGAGGCATATGAAGAGGGAGCTTGAAGGGAGGGTGAATTTCAACATCGTTGATGGCTCTTGGGTCTCCACTGGTCCTCCTCCTCCTCCTCGTCATCCTCCTCCTCCTCCTCCTCCTCCTCCTCCTCCTCCTCTTCCTCCTCATCTTCATCATCAACATCAACATCAACACCACCGCCACCATCATCACCACCACCACCACCACCACCACCACCATCATGATCATCATCATAATCATCAGCATCATCATCACAACACCACCACCACCACCACCACCACCACCGTCATCATCATCATCATCATCAGCATCAGCATCATCATCATCATCATCATCATCATCATCATCATCATCATCATCATCATCATCATCATAATCATCATCAGCATTATCATCATCATCATCATCATCATCATCATCATCATCATCATCATCAGCATCGGCATGAGCATGAGCATCATCATCATCATCATCAGCAGCAGCATCACCACCACCACCATCATTCATCATCATCGTCATCATCATCATCATCATCATCATCATCATCATCATCATCATCATCATCATCATCATCATCATCATCATCAGCAGCAGCAGCTGCATCATCAGCATCATTGACACCAGCATCATCATCATCAGCAGCATCATGTTCGTCATCGTCATCATCATCAGCATCATCACCATTTTCGTCATCGTCATCATCATCATCCTCAGCATCATCGTCATCGTCATCGTCATCGTCATCATCATCAGCATCATCATCAGCATCATCATCATGCTCATCATCATCATCATCATCATCATCATCATCATCAGCAGCAGCAGCAGCAGCAGCAGCAGCAGCATCATCCACCCCTCCTCCTCCTCCTCCTCCACCTCCTCCCGACTCATCCCTCCTCCCCGCCCGCGATGGCCTGCGAAGGCAACGTCCAGCGTGTGCAGGCTCTGGACGCAGGCCGCCTCGCCGAGCGCGCGAACTGCGGCCCCGCCCACTCTGGTCCGGGAGGCGTCAGGCTCAAGCGTTTTGGGGGGGGGACTCGAGCTTGCTCGACGGGGGCTCGAGAAGAGCGGGGGGCGAGCGCCCGCTGCGGACATCTCACGGACGCTGTTCGGTGGCAACTCATGGGAGCATCCCATACCATCTTGTCGGATTTTGCATATCGACGCTAATCGACGCGAAATCGACGCTAAATCGACGCTAAATCGACGCTAAATCGACGCTAAATCAGCGCTATCTCATCGACCCCCAAGCGCTAGTCGACGCGAATCGATGCTGAAGACGGAATTTTAAGAAAGGTATACCAGGCTCCCATGATTTGCCACCGAAACACTGGGCCGTCAAAACCCACGCGGGGGCCGTCACACAGTCGGGCCTCACGCCTCCCCGAGCTGGGGCACTCCCGCAGGTTGACCTCGGACAGCGGCGGGCCTCCCCCGAGCACGGCGAGGACCCCCCGGTCGGTGACCTGGCCGCAGTTCCACAGGTCCAGGGACTCCAGCGCGCAGCACGCCTCGCCGATGGCCTCGCGCTTTTTTTTCAATCGGCGGCGAGGCAGAGGCGGTCTGCAGCAGCGCGGGGCGAATCGGGGCAACCGATGGCAAACTGTCCGGCGTGCAAGAGAGAGAGGCGAAGACGAGGGCGGCCGCGCGAAGGGAGGAGGGGGAGGGCGCTCATAACCAGCCTCGAACTGATCCCTATCCCTAAGATGGGCGAGCAAAAAGAGAGGACAATCTTAGGGATAGGCCCTCAGAAACTGAGGGAATCCTTAAGATCGGCATCGAGGTGAGGTTATGTCAAACATAGGGATAGGGATATGTTTCAAACTGGTAAGCTCACAGATGGCCTCGCACACGCCGTCGTCCACTCTGCAGCCGCCGAGCACCAGGGTCCGGAGCGCGGGCAGCCCGCCGGCGCCGCGCAGCGCAGCGCGGAGGCCAGAGGGCGAGAAGCCGTGGCAGCCGACGAGGCTGGCGAACTCGAGGCTCGGCGCGCAGCCCGCGAGCAGGTCGCCGAGGCCGCTGGCGTCGCCGAGGCGCGAGCAGCCGCCGAGGAAGATCGGGGGCCACATGCGAACCCTACGCCTACCCCCCACGATTTCTGAGGGGCAGGGTGGGGTTCACTTCGCTCGAAGTGAACCCCACCCTCCCCCTCAGAAATCGTGGGAGGGAGGGGTAGGGTTCGCCTGTGGCCCCCGTGGAAGAGCATCTGCAGCCGGCAGCAGGCGCCCAGGCCGCGCAGCGTCGCCAGGCGCTCGCAGTCGCCCAGCTTCAGGGAGCGCAGGCGCCCCTGCGAGGCCGCGAGCGCGGCGCGCAGGCGCTCCTCTCGGGTCCGGGCGCCGGCGGGCGGCGGCCGACGTGCCGTGGGCGTGGCCCCCCCGAGGGGGCAGCCAAGGGGATGCCGATGCAGCTGCTCTGCTAGAGGCCTCCTGGATGGGGTCCGAGCAGATGAGGTCAGAGGATCGCCGTCGGCATGGCCAAAATCGGGCTCCGCACCGAGCCGCATCGCCGATGCATCGGCGATGCGGCGCGATCCTCCGACCGCATCTGCTCGGGCCCCCTCTACAGTCGGCCCGTATCAGAAGGATGCGCGATAAGGATGCAAGGTCCTTGGATGCCCACTTCGAAGCTGTTCGAGCGGGACGCGGCCAATGAAGTGGCCAAGGATGGACCAAGGAGGCAAGGATGCAAGGTTACCCTTGGGAAGGTTGCCCATCCTTCCGATGCATTTTTACTGTAGGAGGCATGAATCCACGGACCTCTCCTGGGGCGCGCTCG